ATAATCTTCCCATCTCAAGATCCTTGATTGAATCACATCAGCAAAGTCCCTTTTCCCACGTAAATTAACATATTCTTCCGTTCTGGAGATTAGGACATCTGTGGGAAGGTCAGTGTTCTACCTGCCATATAAGTGTTCTAGGTTTTGTTGGTTTTTTTGGTAGATTCTTGAGATTTTTTTTACATAGGTGATTATGCGCCATGGTCTGAATATTTGTGCCCCCTACAAAGTTTGTATGTTGCAATCCTGTACCTCAAAGGCAATGGTGTTAGTAGGAGGGTCTTCTGGAACTAAATAGGTCATGTGGCTGAAGTCCTGAATGGGACTAGGACATGAACAGTAGGAACCTGACTTCAACCCTCTCATCCATCTCATGATGGATCTAACGGATACTGAGGACCTAAATGAATTGATATAGACCATACTCTGAAAACACAGATTATAACTCCTAACTCGTGTGGAATATTCATATAAATTGATAGGTTTGGTCATAAAACATCAGTTAAGTCTTCAATAAAAAAGTTCAGGAATCATCCTGGTTTTGGAGCAGTAAATGTACAAATACAGGATGGATAACCTCACTACCTATATATTTTAAAACTCACCAGCTTTTAGGTTAAAGGATAATTATAAAGTAAAAACTAACAATAACCAGTTTTATGGGATACAGCTAAAGTGGTACTCAGAGGAAAGTTTTAGGATTAAATATATATTACTAATCCACAAATAATTAAAATAAACTACCCATTTCAAAAAATTAGAAAAAATATAATAAGCTTTAAAAAACAAAAGCATACAGGTAATGTCATGCTTAACTGGGAAAGGCTGAATCTTTTCTTTCTAAGCTAGAAATAAGCAAGAATATCTACGCTCACCGCTCTTGTGCAACAATGCACTGAAGTGCTAACAGGTCAATAAGGTAATAAAAAAAAAGAATGACATATAGATTAGAAAGTGTCAAAACCAAAATTAGACCAAATAAATTTGAAGATCTAATTGGCTTTATTAAGTGATTCACAAATCAGACAGAATCCCATTTAGCAAGTAGAAGGGGGCTCCAAGGGGCTGTACAAAAGGGAAGGTTTTTATAGGATCCTGCAGGGGTAAGGGCAAGGGAGCTATTAGCAAAAGAAAAGAAAGGATTATTTGTAGGCCAGGAGAAAAACGACAAGGGTTTTGTCACGCAGTCTGCACCTTCTTCCTTTTGGTGGTGGTGGTGGGATGGTGATGGTAACTGACAGGGCCCACAGGACAGGTTACCTAACCAGTGCTAGACCAGAAAACTCTGGACTGATTGATGATTACATTTCTGGTGAAGATAGAATCCAGAAGTAAATCTAGGTGTGGTATCAGGGCTTTAGCAGAAGTGATGCCAAACTGGGGCTGTGGTTTTCTTTTTTAAGAAAAGGAAAGAAGAAAACTGTCCCTATGTGCAGAACTCATAGTATCTTAGTCCACTGGGGAGTAAGAGTGGGTAGCATACGAACAACAGAAACTTACGGCTTAGTTCTGAAGGATGGAAGAGTGAAAGCCGGGGACAGTGTGGTGAGGTGAAGGCCCTCTTCCAGGCTGTAGGCTTCTTGTGTCCTCACATGGTGGAAGGGACTCGGAGATTGGTGGGGTTTCTTTTACGAGAGCACTAGCCCCAATTTTCACATCTCTATTCACAGGTAAGGTGGCCTATAATCCCCCACACACCTTTGGGCACTGTTTATGAGATTCTGGATATTAAAGGCACGCAGAAATCAGAGAAGTAAACTGAAGACCTTTTCATACTGTCCTAGGGCCTGGACTAATTTAAATAACAGGTATAATCTGTTTGAAAATAATAACAAGTGGCATTTACTGACTGCTTTATTAACTGTAAACACATCACATGTATTGACTCAAGTTAAGTAATAATTCAGTTGTGAATCCACCCTGTCATGCTGCTTTCTCAGCTGCAGATCTTTACCTAACTTTCAAATTTCTTCTTTGTTAATCTCTTCAAGTTGTCCACTTTGTGAGGGGTCAATTTAGTTAATTTGTATTTTGACAGAAAACCATCTATATGCTGGTTTCAAGTTTGGTCATACGATGCTCCATGTGGATTCTCATTATGCTTTTAAACTCACACGTCTCCTTCTTCCTGATCTTAATTAAATTGCTCTCCACTTACTTCCTTAACTCAGCGATCTTCAACCTTTTTCACCTCATGGAGCACATACACTAATTACTAAAATTCTGCAGCGCATCGGTTGAAAATTGCTGCCGTAACTAGGTCCAAGAGGAGTTTAACTATGTTCTGGTCTTCACAAAGACCAAGTTTATGGATTTATTTACCCTTTTTATTTCTGTTTTCTATTTCTTTAATTTTAATGTTTACCTTTGCTTTTCATTTTCCCAACTTTCTTTTGATTTATTATTTTTCTAATTCCTTTAAGATATGAAATACGTCCCTGGACTAGTCACAAAGTGTTTATCTCTTATATCTAAATCTTTCCTTTAAAGTCAGCTTTGTGATAATAACAAGTCAAATGGAACACATGAACTCTAAGTGGATCCTGGATCAGAATCAACCAGTTAATTAATTAAAAGAAGCAAATATACCATAAAATATTTTTTTAGTAATTGGGGAACTTTTATATGGCAATATATTCCATGTCATTATTTGAATTTCTGTTCACTTTCTTATGAGTGATGATGGCATTGTGGCTACATAGGAGGCTGTCCTTATTTTTAGGAAGTGCATACTGAATTGTTTAAGCATGAAATGTTATGACATCTACATCATATATATATATATATATATATATATATCTTTATTGATTTCATAGAGAGGAAGGGAGAGATAGAAACGTCAATGATGAGAGTCACGGATCGGCTGCCTCCTGCACGCCCCCTGCTGGGGATCGAGCCTGCAACTCGGGCATGTGCCAGGACTGGGAATCTAACCCCAATTGCCTGGATCCTAGGTCAACTCTCAACCGCTGAGCCACGCCCAGCCAGGCTACAACTTATATATTTTTTTTAATTTTGTTTTTGTTAATCTTCGCCTGAGGATATTTTTTCCATTCATTTTTCAAAGAGAGTAGAAGAGAGGGAATGGGGGAAGAGAGAGAGAGAGAGAGAGAATCATCGATGTTAGAGACACAAACAGACTGGTTGCTTCCCACACCAGCCCCCAACCGGGGACTGAGAGTGAACCTGCAACCAAGGTACATGCACCTGACTAGGAATGGAGCGGTGCGTGACCCTTAGATGGGCAGGCTGACAGTCCAACCAATGAGCCACACCGGCCAGGGCTCTACAACTTATTTTTAAATGGTTTATGGGATGAACTGCATTTCCCTCCACTGGAAAATTCATATGTTGAAGCTCTAACCTTAATACTTCAGAAGGTGACTATTTTGGAGAGACACACTTACAGAGGTAATTAAACTAAAATGAAACATTATGGTGGGACCTAGTCCAATCTGACTGGTGTCCTTATAAGGGATTGGGACGCAGGGGGAGATACTAGGGACGCACATACATAGAGCAAACATGTGAAGAGGCAGTAAGAATATGGCTATCTACAAGCCAAGGAGAGAGGCCTTAGAAGAAAGGAACTGTGCCACTACCTTGATCTTGAACTTCCAGCCTCTAAAACTGTGAGAAAGTAAATTTCTGTTGTTTAAGCCCCGAGTCTAGTATTTTGCTATAGTAGCCCTAGGAAACTAATACAAATGGCTCTGAGGGGGGAAAGGAAAAATATAAAGAGAAAGCAAAAATGGAAAATGTTAACACTGCTCAATCTAGGTGGAGGGTCTATGGATGTTCATTATATCAGCCTTTTAACTTTCATGTAAGTTTGAAGTTTTTCCAAATGAAGAAGTCTGGGTGGGAAATTTCACCAGGAAATGTGTGTGTGTGTGTGTCTGCGTGGGTGTGTGTAAAATTAGTTTGGTAGGGCTGCCACGGACCGTCTGGCTTAAACAACAGAAATTTATTTCTTACAGTTCTGGAGGCCAGAAGTTGTAGGATGAAATGAAATTGTCCTTTTTGGTTGATACTTGCCCTATTGCATTCTATTAGAGATAAAAAAGTAATCAAGATTTCAGGTTAACTGTGTACTACTTATTTATGCCACTGCCTCTAGTAATCTCTTCTTATTTGTGCTACTACCTCTGCAAAGAGAGATACAAGTCAGTCTTTGGCATTTACCAAAAATTAACTGCTTTAGTCAAAAATCATCAACAGATGCTAAAGTTAGTATTGACAGAGAAGAATCATCTAGGAAAAAAAAATTAGCATGTTGTTTCTTGATTAGTGATCATCCCAAAACTTTAGGGATTATATATAAGAATAATCAAATTATCGGAACCTACAGAAGACAAACCACCTTGTCATCATACTTGTGAAATGGGGCTATTATCACCTAGCATTATACGCATGGAGAGGAATTCAGGGAAATAGTGTTCTAAGCTACTAACACAATGCCTGGTAGAGTAAGAGTAAGTACTTAGCAAACAGTGGGTACCACTAGTATTATATTCAAATTCCAAGTGAGAGATGCGACTCTGCTTCAAGCTGGTATTGCTGCTGTCCTATGTTCTGAGTAGCAGTTTAAGAAAATCACCTAGCCCGGTCGGGCGTGGCTCAGCGGTTGAGCGTCGACCTAGGATCCAGGCGATCGGGGTTCGATTTCTGGTCAGGGCACATGCCCGGGTTGCGGGCTCGATCAATGACTCTCTCATCATTGATGTTTCTATCTCTCTCTCCCTCTCCTTTCCTCTCTGAAATCAATAAAGATATATTTAAAAAAAAAAAAAAGAAAATCACCTAATCCTGAGAGCAATAAACTACATCCTTATATATACACCAAAAGAACCTATCATTGCAAGTTAAGTAAATCAATCTTTCTACACTGGTGAATTACTTTATACAAATACACAGAAAAATCATCCTTCTTCAGGTAAGAAACCACCAAAGGAATAACAAAATCATTTTGAAATGAAGATGAAAAATTTTTAACTTACTGACTGACTAAATCAGATCCCTTCTTAGGGCCATCATCTGCCTCCTCTTCCATATCGGAGTCTGCACCATTGTCACCTTATAAATGAAACAAACTATTGAAAGCATGCTCATAAAATGTCACAACCATTTAATTTTCATCCTTACATAAAAAGTGTCACCTTTAAACATGATGCAGATGAAAGAACTTTAAAGTTTATAGGAAACTAAGAGTAATGAGAATACAGAGCAGAAAATAAAATTATTTTAGAAGAAGTCTTTGCTTTCTCAAAAATTCATTTTATAGCATTTTGGTTAACATTTTTTACTTCATTTTATTACTGTGTACAAACATATGCTCTTACCTATACTCTTGAGATGGAAAAACCATACATACATCAAAAAATATCTACACTTAAATGTTATTCTGACATGGAAACTATATTTCTCTGTACAAACAGAAGTAAAAATACTGTTCAGTGATTACCCAATAATGAAATTAAAGTAATATTCAAGGAAGAAAAAGAATACCTCAGGGTTTATTTTGAATATAGTATTAACTAAAAAGTTATCAGAATGTGGAAATATGTATTCTTACCCTCAAGAATCTTCAAGATTTTTTTTTCAGACAGGAGCTCTAACTGTTCTTGGCATAGTTTTTTAATTTCTTCTATTGAACAGTTCTAAAGAAAATGACATTTTTAAGAATGCATTTATGTAATATAATGCCAATGTAAACTAGAAAAGAGCTATCACAAAAAAAGCCCAGTTAGCAAAATCTCACAAATTTAAAGCCACATAAATCCTTTCATGGGATGAAATCTGTAAACCTGCCAGTTAACATGTGAACATTATAATTTATAAGATTTGATGAGAATTCACAGTCATGTTTATCATTAAAGAACAAACTAAAGAGTAAGTCGGGAGCCCAGATATTCTCAACAGCATCCTATTTCTGTTAGGTAATTCCTCTAAAGGTTTAAATATTCAAATCCTGGATCAATGTATCTTAGATATATGATTTTGGGCCCAATTTGTCCAACCCCTATTTCCATAACTCCATTAGAATAACATGTATTTCCCTGAATAATTTTCAGAAATAAAAACAAGAAAGCATTGATAAATGTAATGAAATATGAGCCACTACCAAATATCGTTGTATATTGTTACACAGCAGTATATTATTTCTTAAAGCACCAGAACGAATCCTCACACCTCTAATTTAATTACTAACATTGCCTGCATTTAATAGAATGACTTCCAGAAGGTCAATAAATTCCTTACCTAAATACAGTCAATTCCATTTTTTTTCTTGGCAAATTTTTACATATACAAAGCCATTTATGGCTCTCCAAAATCCCTTTTTTATATGTTTTCAAGTAGTTTATATCTAATTATAATTTGCATTAAGTAAACTGATTGCTACAAAAAAGGTTTTTGTATATTTCTTTCTATGTGCATAGTCTGATAATGTATGTAATGAAGTACCTTTAACACATCAGGAAGCATCTTCTGTAATTTCTTCTCTCCTATGATACAGAAACACTGTTGAAGCATTTCTTTTTTGTCTGATATGTAGAAACTAACTGGTTTTAATGACACAGTCAGGTCCAGACCACCTTCTTCAAGGTCACTGTGCTCTGCCAGGAATAATTCTTTTTCCAAAGTTGGTAAAAGATATTTCGTTTCCTAAAATTAAAGGAGATAAAGAACCATTGACTAATACTACTTAAAGTGTATGGAATATGTATATAATGCCATACATTTTCATTTAACAAATTCTTCTTCATGAAATATTTCCAAATTCTTGGTTTACATAGATTATCTAAAACCACAGAAAAGAATATTTAATTGCTCAGTATTATCTGAACTTACTGTCCACACCGCAATTAACTCAAATTTACATTGTGAAAAGATAATACCTTAGGACACACAAAATATACTCACTATTGAACAACTTCCTAACAATTTTAGTCTTTTAAAGAATTAGAATATTCCTCTAGCTGGTCATTCACCCAAAAGTTTTATGTATGTCTTGTCATTCTTTTTTTTTTTTTTAAATTCATATAAAAATGGGATAGCAGCAAAAATATTACAAATCACAAATATTACACAATAACGTATTAATGATTACCTGGAACTATTATCACTTTTAAAACTGTTATATAATTTAGTCATAGTCAAAGCAGCCAAGTAATTTAAGACATTTATGCCAATTTTACCACCTGGCTCCCAAATCTATTCAGTCTCTCCAAATCTATTGTCATAATCCTGGTCCAAGGTACCATTATCTTTTGCCCAGATTACTTTAATAGCCACTTAAGTGTACTTGCTGCATCTAATCTGAGGTCTCTCCAATCTGTTTTGAATAATGTGACCAGAATGGATTTTATAAAATGTACATAATACTAATCTTTCCTATTTATAACCTTTGAATGACTTCCTACTGCTTTTAGGGTAATATGGCCTATCTGGCCCTTCATGGTCATTCTTTGCGTTTCAAATACAATGACCTTCTTTGAATTACTCGAATATAACCTGTTCTCCCTTCAACTCATACAGGCAGGACTTTTGTATACACTGTTCTTCTGCCTAGAACAGTCTCTCCCCACACCCCATTTCCCATACCACCCACGCTATCTTCCCAAGATTAACAAATTCAGGTACCAATTCAAATGTCGTTTTTTCTGGAAATCCAAACTATACAGCTCAGGTAGATTTCTTTGTTATATTTTCTAATGAAATTGTTTAAAAAGCGGGTTTTTAAAAAGCCAATTTTAAAGGGTACTATAATTAGGCTGATAAAGTATAAGGAGGTCAACTCTCGTTCTAATGGCTCGCAAAGTAATTCCAATGTTAGTAAGAATGTAGAGAAACCAGAAGCCTCAAGCACTGTTAGGAATATAAAATGATGCAGCCACTTTGTAAAACAGTTTGACAGTTTCATTCCTAGATATATATCCAAGATAAATGTAACCATATGTTTGAACAAAAATGTGTACACAAATGTCCACAGCAGCATTATTCATAATAGCCAAAAGGTGGAAGCAATCCAAATGTCCATCAAGTGACAAATGAGAAAACCAAACATGGTATTATTCAGCCATAAAAAGGAAATACTGATATGAACAAAGTTCACAAAACATGCATGAACTTAGAAAAAACATGCTAAGTGAAAGAAGCCAGTCACAAAAGACCACATACTACATGATTCTATTCATTATAGTATGTCCAGAAGAGGGAAATCAATAAATCTATAGAAATAGGAAGCAGACTAGTTGTTGCCTAGGGAGGCAACAAGGAGAGGGTGCATCTTAGAAATAGCTAAAAAGTACATAGGGGGTTTTTTTGNGGGGGAGGGTGAAAAAAAATTTCAAATTAACTGTAGTGACTCACAACTCTGTGAATATGCTCAGAACAACAGAATTGTATACTTTAGGCAGGTGAATTATATGATATGTGAATATTTCTATAAAGCTGGTTACAAATAAATAAATAAATAAATAGGAACTCCATACACAACAAATATAATGGCACTCTTTGAATTCTGAGATGTTATCTATATGCCTAATATGTAATTTCTTTTTTTCCTCACAAATACACTTCTCACTAGAAATAGGATTTAGTTCTGTATGCAAATATTTACAGCTTAGCATTATTGGTCTGAGCACCATGATACAGAGTACTAAAGATATGGAAACTATTTAAGAATGGTGATCTCCAAAACTGAATCTAGAACAGGTGGGAAAACTGAATAGTCAGATCTATAACTATCAGAGAATTTGGAAAAATTCTTTTTTTTTAAGAGGAAAAACAAAAACAAAAATAAAAAATACCAGACCCAGACAGATGTATGCTGTATGGTTCAATGGTCAACTGAGGAAAAATTTTGGGGGGGAAAAAAGATATAAACTTTTCTAGAATACACCAATAAATAAATAAATAAATAAAAAGCAAAGATTCCCAACTCAATCCATGAGGCTACCAGAATTTTTATACCAAACCCAGAGACAATAAATACAAAAATAAAACCCACAGGATGCTTTATCTTAGTAACATAAACTGATTTAAAAGTACAAATAATGAATTCCAGCCAAGTACAACCAAACCAACAAGCCAAATAGGATCTATCTCAAGACTGCAAGGATAGTTCAATATGAGTTACTCATCAATAAAACTACATTATCTGATTACTGGAGAAAAACTATGAGGTCATCTCAACAGAATGCCATAAAAGCATCTGATAAAACTCTACAACCCTCAGACAACTAGGTTAGTGAAGAAAATGTCCTTAACCTGATCAATCGTATCTTTCAAAACCTACAACAAATATACTTATTGGCAGGACATTACAAATGTTCCCACTGAAAAGAGGACTGGGTTGAGAATGCCTGCTATCACTGCTTTTGTTGAACATTACACAAAAAGTATTAGATAACGCAAAAAACAAAACACCAAAAATGGGAAATACAGGAGCGGGAAAAGTAGGTTTACAGTCGTGAGTAGTGAAACAGAGTTTATTCTTGTATTATTTATTTGTATTACAACTGTAAACCTACTTTTGCCCACCCCTGAACAGTGCTGAAAAAGAAGAAACAAAACTCACTGTTAGCAGAAATTTTTCTGTGAGTCAATTTTAAACCAATAGTGGGGCTAGATCCAAGAAAATACATAAAAATAACGGTCTTCTCTGCTTCCACAACTCCCAATTTAAAGATGTAATATTAAAAAGTGCAGAATAGTTTTATAATCTTGGATTAGAAAAGACCTTTCTAAAAAACACACGATCCAAAAGTCACAGGAAATTAACATTAGTCTTGACCACAACGGAATCAAAAGCTTCGGTACACCATGGCCAAAGTTGTAGAAACACTTGCAATATACCTTACACAAAGCATTAGAATCAAGCCTTTATGAAGAGAGATTCGTAACTTATCAGTAAAAAGTTGAAAACAACCAAAGGAATGTCCAATTTATAAAGGAACCAAACGACAAAAAAATATATATATCTAAATGCTAATCTCACGATCAATCAGGAAAATATAAATTAAAACATATGCAACAATAATTTCACCCATTAAGCTAACAAAATTTTTAAAAATGGATGTAGTGCAAATTTGAAGAGATGGGTATTTTTATATACTGTTTGGTTCATAAACCAGCACAGCTGTTTTGGGAACCATTTGGTCAATTACGTGACCCAGCAATAAACACTGACCCAGCAATCGCACTTACGATGCTTGTACATGATACAGGTACAAGGGTGTTCACTTTACTATCATCTCTGCAACAGCAAAAAAAACGGGGCACCTAACTAATTCATCAATGAAGATGCGTACAACGAAATATCCAGTCATGAAAAAGTCAGGTATTGCATATATAAAGGCTCCTCGTCCCAGCCATGCAGCCGTATTATCCAATTCACTGGGGGCAATGCCACGGCGAGTCTTACGTGTGGAAACTGAACACACACCTCTCGTAAGAACTAAGGGCGAGGCTATCAGACTATCACTGGGGGGGAAGCTTAAAGGGAGGCCGCCTCGCTTTTCCTTCTATTTCTGTGTTGTATACCTGTAAGTATGTATTTATGCACGTTTTATAATATACTATAAGCAAACGATTTTTTTAAAAAAACACGGTATCTTGGCAGGTCATGAAACATAAAGAACTTTTCTTTTATACAGTCAGACACTGGATACACATCTAGGCGTGACAGACTGGCTGCGGGTGAACTTCCCTAAGCTCTCCTCTGTGTTCTCATCTTGGAACGTGGAGTTCATCATAACTGCAAAAGGTGGAGATGTAGGGAGAAGTAAAGCGTGGTTTGCAAGGGCAGTAAAGGCCGGCTTCCTCCTCATATTTTTTAGGCAGACTGAGGAGACCACAGCAGTGGAGGGAGCCCGTTACCAGCAAACCCAGGAACCTGAAGCCTAAAGCAGGGGAGTGTGGGGTTCACCGGGACTAGGCACGTGCACCGCGAGCACGGGCGGAATCTGGGTTTCCAGCGCCACCAGCGGGCCCGGCGCCCCTCCCGGTCGCCGCCCGCATCCTTCGGAAACCGCGGCGGCGGGAGGGCAGCGGGGCGGGC